ATGACGAAGACCTTTCACATGACACATTGTCATTTGATCCATTGAATAAAATTAATCAGTTAATGCATCTTTATGGAAATCTTAAAATTGCATTTACTCTTAATAATCAAAATAAATTTTGTTGAATTATTGTGGAGAGTTTTAGGTGTAAGTGGTCAGGAAGTTGCTGTTGTCATTACAGTTGTAGCATTACTCTGCCCATGTAAATGTACCTTTGCTATCAACTAATTAAATTCCCTTACAGTAGACGTTAATTATGGAAACGTGCTTTTTCATGTATAATAAATGTGTGCATATCATATACACACTTCAGGACACTAAAAGAGATTCAGCACCTTCTGAAATGTAAATTCAACAACATCTGCCCTTGAAAGCGTAGCTTGCAGGCTGTATAATAAACATTGTATATTAATATTTGTGGTATTTTGTATTTTTTCTAAGGCATTTTCAGAGCTTTCCTAGAACGCTACCTTGGCTAGAGCAGGTTATGTTAAAACAGCAGAGCAACAGTGAAAACATCCCATCCAATATACTGATATGTGAATGTAAATGAGACTTGTAAGAACACTCTGCACATGTGCACACAGCCTTAGAAAAAAAAGCACTGCTCCTCTCTTGTTTGTGCTTTGTTTCACTTTGCGGCTGCCAGTGACAAAAGTTCATTTGGGTCCGTCAGGAATGATAAGCATGCACCACGCTCAGATTAAAACTTAATGTGCTCTTGCCGGCTGACTGCTTGTCAATGGAATGGACAAAGCAATAGGAGGCAGTGCAGTGGAAAGATGGAAAGTGAATCTGCTCTCTCCATCCTGAAGCCCAGAAAAAGCTTTTCCCCGAGTCAGCCTTGTTTTCTCTTGCAGCCAGTAATACATCACAAGTGCAAGCAACATATCAGCTACTTCAACCAGTTACCAAATCATTGCTCTTCATCACGGCTTCTCCTATGAGTTGTGCTCTAGTGTGCATGCAAATATCCTCCACTTTTTAGCTGCAAATGGATTCATTAATCATACAAAAGTGTATTAGTCACTTTCAGAGTGAGAACCAGCGAGCACAGGTATTTGTCTTAGCCACACTGCTGCACAGAAAGGTAAGTTGTTACTTCATCATCAGCTGCTGCATGTTGTGCAAATGCTCTACAGAGTCACAAGTCAGTGGGCACATTCACAATACATTTACAGTACAATCACCTCGCCCACATGCACCCCTCACTCTTCAAAATCTAAATTTTTGTCGCCCTACTTTTTCGGAGAGAAGCTTTGATAGAAACATCCAGGTTGTCTTTTATTTATTTATTATTACTGTGTAGTTGCAGTAATAAGATTCATTAATAGATCTGTTTTGCCCTGGGTTTCACCTCTCAGGCTTCCTCCTGGCTGTCCTAACCCTCTGATTGGGCGAGGTTTTTGTGGCCATACATAGCCTGTTGTTAGAGACTTGACTTAACACAAATGCGATGTCATTTTAATGATCAGCAGTCCAAAACCTGAAAGATTTACACGTGACCTGCAATTTTCACAACAAAACTCAAGGTCTGCATACTTTTTCCTGAGCTTTCAAATGCATCTCCTGGTCTTTAAAGAATGAACAATGACTCAACAGACTTGTGACAGGACATCAGATTTAACTTGAGACTTATTGCTTAAATGTGTCTGCTTGGATTTGATGTCCTCTTCCCTAACCATGATGAAATAGGTAAGACTCTGAGGTGTATTTCTTCCATTAACCTACCTGGGTGGGTTAGCAGTGTCCATGCAAAGTATAAAAGGCAGAACGCTGGAAGAGCATATCCACACTGTAGCCAAGTCAAGTAGGCTTTTATTGTCATTTCAACCGTATATGCAGTACACAGTGAAGAGGATTACATTAAAGTGCACACACATTACAAAACAATTGACTAAAACAACAGACAGACAGAGCATAACAGACTCTGAGGTGTATGTACAGGGTATGGTTAAACACACAGAGGTGTCTAACAGGACAGCAAGGCATCAAGTGCTGTTCCCGTCTCATGAAATGCCTCCTGAAATGCCTTCAAACTGCCCCCCTGGCCAACAGCCTGTTCCGAAGGCAGAGAACTGAGAAAATACAACGTGTGTCTTTCGCACATAGCTGCTGCCTGGTAACGTCCCAAGACTCCATAAGTAGAGGTGGAGAGACAGCATTGATTTACCCCTAATCTGTGGCAGTAAACACTACACATACAGTATAAGACACTATTTATGCTATATTCAGAGAGACATTTATTGCAGACAAACAATAATGTTAACCGTGATGTACTGACACAGACACACAGCAGAGAGAGTTGAGGGACCTGCTGTGCATGTTTTTTGTGGAGAAAAAATATGTAAATATATACATATAATATGTTGTAAATATAATAAATATTTTTTGTAATATTTTAAACTCCAGGTTCATTTAAATGTTTTGTACCACATTCTTTAGCAAATAGAATTTTGCTGGGTCATCACTGGACCTAAATACACAGGTTAAGTACAGACAAAATGACCACCTTTCATCACGTGAACGAAGTTCTGTATAGCAGTGGAAATCACCAGTTTCATCATATTAAGTACAAAAAAATTAGCAGGAAGTAGAATTCAGTCTATTTTTAATAATAATTAATACACATGGATAAAGTGCAGTTTGTGCATTTAACATAATATGACATTAGAAGCCTTCATCTGTAACATTACTTTAATAATATATGGAGACTGTGATTCAGCAGAGCAGTTAATCAAACTCTGCAGTCACGTTTGCAGGAGGTGATGATTTGTCTGTAAACTCTCTTAATGATTAACAGGCTGTAAACTATTTATTTTGATGGAGCAGCAAACTGGCAAATTGAAACTCCCACATTTTTTCTCCACAGATTATAGATGTTTACTTGACTTTGCCTGAGCCAGACCGGCGACTCTTTTGAAGCAGCTTCAGAGGCTGACAGGCAGAGTAGAGACCTCGTCTCCGTGGCAGCAGTGTCAGCCCACCTGAGTGACTGACAGCAGGCCACCGCACGGATCCCGCTCATGTTTATTAATAACCCAGTTTCCCGGCCTGTGTATAGACCCCGACAAGGAAAGATGCAGCACTCGCACAATGGTTTTATAAGGTGAAGGGAGGCATTCCGAGGCTGTCGCTTGTAAATCGCTCTCGCTGTTATAGATCAAGATCCAGTGACTCAAAAACACCAGTGGGAAAACACTGAGCTGCAGCACACACCTCTCCCTTCCAAACACTATGGACAATGGACAGAAAGTTGTTACTGTGATGTAGAGACAGAGCTCAGTTAAAACTTTCTGGATGAAAGATACTTTTGTTACAGATTAATAACTCACCACTCTGAAACTCTTGCTCCAGTCCATGTTGCAAAGCTGGTCAGCTACAGCTGAATCGAAGCTGTTTACGGGCTTCTCACTGACCCGCCCTTCTCTGCTTCTGATTGGCTAGGAGTCCTTAACTAGGAACTGCGCAAGTGCAACTCCCAACAAAGATCATTTAGAGACAAGATGTGTCACTCCATAGCTAAAACGAAGCCTTCAACACAGGGTGAAAAGAGGAGCTGCAGCAATGTGCAGTGTGACAAAATATAAGGTGTTTTTTTTGAAAATTAAACCATGTAAACCTGTTCTGGTACAACCCCTAAATAGGATTTTGAACCTGAAAACGAGCATAATACCACCTCTTTAAAGCAAAGCTGGAAAGGTTTATGAATATTTCAACAAAAAACAAGGAACTGATAGGGATAGAATGAACAAGATTTGTTAAGTAAAAACTGTTATTCAGGTTTTGACTTATGTTGTACTGACCGGATTAATGAGATAAGCATACGTTTAACACACGTTTGTCAATTATTTACCTTCAAAAAAAGTTTAAAAGCTCAGTCACACCAGCTCCATGCTTCACATTGAGATTAAGTGGATGTTATTCACTTCATCATCGTCTGTTTTTTCAGCCAAGGCAGGGATTCAAACCCACTGCATTACCATTGCATTTGCTTTGCATCCTCAATCAATGGGACAATGCACACATCTCTCTTTCAATAGAATGTATTTATAGACCAAAGGGTTAATCGACTAAATTTGTCAGATTAATCGATTCAATTCAATTTTCACCTAAATTTTTAAATCCCAACAGAAGTTATCTCATTACGCTTTTTCATATATAGAGCGTCTCTGTGATATTATTTACACAGACCCAACAATTCCTATCATGAGCAAGCACTTGGCCACAGTGGCAACAGAGGCAGAAACCTCAAGCAGAACCTAGACTCAGGGTGGGCGGCTGTGGGGGGTAAGGAGAGAAAAAGAGAGAGAGAGATAATCGTTAGTTGCAGCCCTAATCACACTCACAAACTATCAGGGGGGGTTGGGGGATTTTATCTTGGTTATTTAAAACCACTTTTTTTGGTGTAAACAGATTTTGCAGAGCTGCTTATGCTTAAGCTTTGACCTACTGTTCTAGACTGACATTTCAACTGCTTTTGCCTTCAAACTTGTTAAAGAAGGTTAAACTGCTTTCTGTGAATACATTTTAACTGACACTTCGGCTCCTGGTGATGTTTAACCTTCAGCTGACACATCGACTGCTTTTACTGCTCACACTTGACTAGCATCTCAGTTCCCTTTGATGCTCTCACACGGCCTGACATCTTTCCCGCTTTAATATTATTAGATGCATTCAAATGCTACATTTTAATGGACAGTTCAAATGCTTTCATACTTTCATTTCAGCTGAAATTTCAGCTCCTTTTGGTAATTATCTTTCAACTGACATATCAGCTGTTTTTCATTGTCTACAACAGACGCTTCAACTCTTTAGGAACTTCAAGTTCAACTGGAACTAAAAAAAAACGTTTCAAAACAGTCACGCCTGTTTAAAGTGTTCAAAACTACAATGACGTTTTCAGCACAAGAGAACACACTTTCTTAACAAAATGTATCCTTTTGTATTTGGGTGTGTTTAAAAACTGATGTTCATGTTTGGTGTTTTTCTTTTTACAGAGATGGCCTTGCACTCCGTTGTAAAGCTGTGTCCCTACCACATCTTAGCAATTAACAGGTGAGTAAAAAGTTACCATAGCTGAGAGTTGTGGTGGCCAAAACTTGTAACCTGTTTATCATTAAGCTAACCAGTGGACCAAAAGAGCTTCAGTAGATGTTTGAACATTCTAAGTAGATCATTACTATCCTCAATGAGATTTGACTTGCATGCTGCATACAGAACTTCAAAGTAAACTTGGCATTTTGCTTTTAATTCTGTTAACACTTCTAGACTTCCATGTTGTTCATCTTGGAATTATAAACTATACCCTTGACTCGATAATGCTTCGCAGAGTGCTGGATTTGAGGGATTATGTTTGAAGCAGGATAAGTTTTACCAAAACTATCCAAATCTCTCGACTTAAAGGGTTTTCAGGTGATCTTTTTGAGTCTGGGAAGAGCTTCTGCCTCTCATGACTCAATAAGAGGAGACAGCTTCAGACGTGTGCTAGCAGTAGCCCTCTAATCCACGCCAGCGATGGGCAGTGTGTTTGAGGCTTTAGCCGGACCCGATGAAGGAGAAGCTCTTACAGGCCTAGACGGCCATGATCTAAGTAGGCAGCCAGTGAGGCAGCGGATTGAGGTCACGTCAGCCCATCCAGAGCCAGAAAACCTTTAATGCGGCCGGCTGGGCTTGTTTTGTGGACTTGTGGTGACAGGATGGTTTTCATGCTTGGGTGTGAAGGCATAGAGGAACATATAGGTATCATTTTTATACCGCGAGGAAACTAATTCAGAGCAGAGGAACGGGGCATTTGTATTTGTGACAGTGATATTAAGTTTGCTCTTGTGGTTTACAGCCAGAAACCCATCAGGACTTGTTGAGATGCTTTGTGTTGTTGTTTATTCCTGCCAAAGAGCCGCTGTGCAGGCTCCCGTATCATCTGACAGCTTTCAGAGACAAGGGTGGATCCGCTCAGATTACTGCCTGTGTTCCAGCAGAGTCCCCAGAACCCATCCTGTGACACGCCGCAAGTCACCAATCCATGATTTATTTTATACAACACGGGGTGCTTCCTAATCAATGGGCCATGCAATCGCAGGGGGTCCCAGCACCCCTTCACCTGCAGCGCTAACATACAGATCGGAGGACCGATTCATGATGCAGACGGAACAAAATAACTTTAAACCTTCTACCACCAAGTGTGTCCTGTTATGTCTGATTTCATAGTTCTTTTGAATGAAAAGTCCCTTCAGTGAGTCATTCTAAATCATTTTCCGTGACATTGTTGGCGATTGGAACAGTTGTGAATGGTGAGCAAATTCATTTCATTTGAACATTTTCATTACCTCTGAATCTGCTTGTAGCGCCAGTCCATGGCTTCAAAGTTTTGGCTATCGTTCCTATAAGTTACAGAGTTTTTTTTCAGGTCTTATTTATCTAAAGCCATTTACTTGGAAGTGTAAACAAAGAAAAATGCTGAAGTCACTACCCAAGTTTCTGTTGAAAATATTCAACAGATTTCCTTCCTAGATCAGCTTTGACCTGCTGTATCTACTGCTGCACTTAGATTTCACACATTAAGTGGCTTTCCAACTGAAACTCAGCTGACCTATCGACTGCTTTCATTGTTTACACATCACATCACATCACATATTTGCTGTTAATGCAAACTCAAAACCTCCTCCATGTTTGTCTGCTGTAGTTTGTTTCCATAGTTTCCCCAGCACTAACTCTATCAGTACAACAGAGTCATGCCATATTCATCACTCTGCTGCTCAGCTTTTCTTTTTAACAGAAATAATCATTCAATTATTAATTAGTTTGTTCTACTTGTTGTTGTTTTTTTCAATCCGTTATATGTGACTGTCAGTGAAGCTCAACATGTCCTCCAGACATCCCACATTAAAAGCCTCTCAGCAGCTAGCACATAGAAGCGACTGAAAACAATCTGTGACAAAAATACTTTTCTCTTCAGTAAGAGAAAATGAGTGATGACTCTGCTTTTGTACCGATGGAAACTATTAATAGTTCTGTGAAAGTAGCTGCATTTCTATGTGAGCAACTAAAGTGCAGGGAAATCCCAACCAACAGGACTTTTTTTTATTTTTATTTTTTATTTGAGACTTAATTTAATACTATCCAAGGAAGGTTAAAATCCTTCCTTGGATAGTATAACTATGACCTGATTAGTGGTGTAAACAAACACCAACACTTGCCCGGTAGTACAATTAGCAGCAGTGCCATGTATAATAATACATCCATGAGCAGTGTGTGCCAGTAAGTGACTTCTGGACAAGAGAAAAGGTCCTTGTTGCAACATTCCCCTGATACTTTTAATCCGGCCCTAACGTTAAGGATCCTGAATGAAGCTTGAAGCTGTTGGGGGGGTTATTCTGCAACTGACCAATGAATAATGGTTTAGTCAGCTATGGGCAGCCCTAGACATTTGATGTTCTTGAGAAGCATGAGCAGCATGGGGTCACTATTCTGTAATATTGCACATTAAAGTATTTTTTTTTTTGTCTATAAACAAAAAATATGATTAAAAAACATGATTCACAATGCAAATTGCATTTAGTTGCGTAAAAAAAGCTGAAGATTATTACTGCAGATTTAAGAGGATGAAACGAAAAGCTTTAGTTAAAGAAGGTCTTCACTCTGATCAGGATTGTAGCTTTGGTCAATATATACGGTGTACTGTACTGCGTGCAAACCAAGCTCCTCAGCTTACCTGCTCTGATTGTCCCAGGTGTCTGTGGCAGCTCTGCTGAAGGTGGGTTAGTCTCGGAGCAAACTCGCAGCACCGTGAATGGTCTCTCTCTCTCTAGCCTGTGGCACTGGAGGTATCACTCTGGCAAAGGGAATTATTAAAAACATGTTCCCCATAGAACCACTTTTCCCCACGGTGAGAGAACAGACACCTGGCCACTGTGTCTTTAAGCTGAATCGATTTCTGTTGCAGCAGACCCACAATCCCACAGCACAGCATGCTGAGTGCTCTCTGTCTGGGTGTACAGGGTGCTGCACAGAGGCAAACCAGCCAACCACTCCCACTGTTACATTGTACATTGATTTTTACTGCCTTATATTGCAAAATGACCATAATATATCAATATAGAGGAGAGAGGGCGGTAATGGGATTATTGGTCAATTCAAATGATTCCATTACTTCAGCAGATTGTAGATTTTTTGGCTTTCAAAGTGTGCTTTCTGCAGTGACAAGGCCAAAATGAGTGAGACAAAAGTCAAAATAGTATTAATTTTACAGTATTTTTCATGGTGATATACAGTTTGCCTCTGTTGAGGAAATGTAACATTATTCATGTTAACTACAGCTCAGTTTCATATATAAGGGGGCAGAAGAGGTAGGTTGGTGGGTTCTGTGCCACAAGATGACACCAGGCTGAGAAAAATAACATTGAGATATATTGTTACCATTCCTCCAGTGGCCTGTGCTATGATGCAGGATGTGAGTTTAGCAACTTCAGGGTTAAACCTGGATTTTCAGTCCTACGATGGTTTTTCACCTCTTACCGGGTTACATCGCTGTGCTAACTTATGTTGAGTGGCTAACACGCTCTGGAGGAGGTTATGTTTGAGATAAGATCTATAAAAGCACCACCAATCGGTTCTCTGTGGGTACGATGTGTTGGGTAGGCCACTTTTACATTGAAATTACCTGAGACATGCTAAAACACCATGTAACAGTAGCCCAAGTCAACAAGAGTTGTAAAGTTATTGAGCTGCCCCAGTAATAATTGCTAATATTAGCTACATTAGCCACCACTGGTCATAGCAGCAAGTGTTTTGAACAACCCGATCTCGAATTGAATTGAGTGTGTTTTATTGCTTGTGAATTAAACTTTTCATTTGTCAGACGAAGAATGTGTTGTTTCTTCTGTCACGAGTTTCATAGTCTCACTCAAAACACCAAATAGAAACTACCATGGCTAAGTGGTGAAGCCAGTGCTCAAGTGCAAGTGTAGCTGCAGTTCTTCTAGTGGCAGCTAGGGGCTAGCTCACAAAGAAGGCAAAGGAATTATTTCTTTTAAAATACAGGTTGAACAAATTATTTGTAGCTGTGTTTAAAATCTTTGTCCAGATATTTTATCTAACATAAAGCATGGATTGGGTTGTCAGCCTTTCACACTCGTTCATGGTGGTCACCAGTGCAGTGTGTATGCTGCATTTATGTAATGCTGGCAGAATGAACAGAACAGTGCTCATGCATTTTTCCAAGGTTAACCCCATAGTCACACACCATATAAATAACCGAAATGAGCTACTTGTTGTGTTAGATATTTGTGATGGTTCACTGACAAAGCTGACAGCAGACACAAACGGTGTGTAGCTCCTTTATAATTACCTTTATTAACTAAATTAGAGTTCATATGTGAATGTGATTTTATGTTATGTTATTTAGGGTTTGTGGCCATGTTTTCAGACACTTGTAGGCTATAGCTTTTTTTTTTACCAAGAGGGAGATAAAGTTGTTTTGTCAGTAAGTGGCAGACCTGAATCAAACATTATCTTAAAACTAGACTGTGCCAAAGCTGCACACTTCTACAGTTTATGAATTACAACATCATTATGTGCTGAATGGCAAAATTAACCTGATACACAGGCTGAATTTCTCTTTTGTTTTCACTTATCCAGTCTGACATCGTGTTCAAGTCAGCCGTTTTCACAGGAAGATCATGAATTATGAGGTGTAGGCGGTGAACCAGAGGTCTGAAACCAGGCTAACTTTCTTTTGCTTTTTGTTTTTTGTTGCTGTTCTTGTGTTGATAATGTACTCCCATTCCTGCTCTACAGCACTGATAGAAGTGGCAGTACTACAGTGTTCACAGTCTGTGAACAGGGGGGAAAACCGTTCAAGGGCAGCTAATGCATTTGTTTGCCGTACATATTCCTGAGAGGGCAAGTAATGTGTTTAGCATAAGAACAAAACTGGGAACATAGAGTCTTGTTATGGGCTGCAGCCGCACAGAGCACCCAGCCTGATGATGCTGCAGGAGTGAAGGTTCTTCATGCTGCTGTGGGAGTGTCTGCTCATCAGACCGCAGCCGTGTGCA